CCTACTTCTAAACAAGGTCACGCTCTGAGGTTCCGAGCAGACGCGAATCCACTGCGGGGTGACCTATTCACCCCACTGCAGTAGCCAGGAGCACAAGCACCGCCCTCCCGCTGACCTCGGGAGCATCTGCCACGAGCGACCTCGGAGAGCAGAGCCTCTCGGGGGCCCCAGCTCCCTCATGTGCCCGCTGGGAAAGCCGCGGTCGGCCCGTGGGGCTGGGGTGAGGGCGGAGAGAGCTGGCTCGAGCCAGACACCCAGCACAGACCCCGAAACACCCATGAGGTACATGACTGCCCACACTCTCACTTTATCATTGTAACTGTGACCTTTTTTTTTAAAGATTTTATTTATGTGACAAAGAGAGACACAGCGAGAGAGGGAACACAAGCAGGGGGAGTGGGGGAGGGAGAAGCAGGCTTCCCGCTGAGCAGGGAGCCCGATGCGGGGCTCGATCCCAGGACCCTGGGACCATGACCTGAGCCGAAGGCAGGCGCTTAATGACTGAGCCACCCAGGCACCCTGTTACTGTGACTTTTACTATCGTCCTGAGGGTCTGTGCTGGAGACATCAATGGCCAGGGCTCAGTTTGGCTAGCTCACTGAGCAAGAGTCTTTGGGCGGTCATGGAGCTGGTCACTAAGTCTAGAAGCTTCCACAGACAGGAGTGGTTTGGGCTGGGCTGGCGGCTTAGGATTATTCAGAAAACATGTTAAAATGCTATTCCTGTTGCCTGCCCAGTGGCCTGGACAGGGCCTTGGGGTTATGTTTGACCACAGATGGGGGTTTCTAAAGGGTAGCCGCCCCCTGGAGAACTCCTAATCTGGGTCAGACCCTCATTTCACTGATGGGGAAACTGAGACCCGCAGAGGGACATGGCCTTGCCCAAATCACTGCAGATTTTGGCAAAAGGGCAGCAACATTCTGAACCATCCACAGATGGCCCCTCTGGAGCCCCACATCCTCCCCGTGCATTAGCTGGGGCAGCAGGGTGTGCTGACTCCTCTCCTGGCCAGGAAGCAGGGCTCAGAGAAGGGACTAAGGAAGGTCACAAGGTTGGCTCAAGGTCAACACAGCCAAAGCCAAAGACGTAAAATGCATTAGTGAATAACAATACGTTAGTAAGAGAAACCAGTCTATGGACAGGTGGGGAGCCCTGGCTATCTGAACCTTTGTTATCCACACTCTTGTTTCCCAAACACAGAATAAAATAAATTAAGATAAATGTGTTGACATATCCTTGCTATCTAAATCCAGTTGTTTTTTACACGAATCTCTGAAACCAAATGGATTTAGAGTGGAGGAAGACACGTATTCCTACTGTGGATGAGAATATACTTAATGCCACTCCCCACTAACCTCCACCCACAACAGCAGGGAACGAAGAAAAAAAGAGGAAAGTTCTTCAAAGTTCACTCATGCAGACAAAGTGAACAACAACACAGAAATCTATAAAAGCTGTTAAAAATCATTCTTTTCTGGACAGAATTCTGTACATTCTCCATAGATAGAGAAATAAGATAAATTCAGCAAATTATTTTTCTGTATGATTTGGCTTTCAGCAATTTGACCTCCAGCGTGCTGACTTTTGATGAATTAACTTTCACTAAATCGTTTTGCTTCCTGCATGGCCAAAAGGTGGAGGGGTGGACATTGGAAGTTAGTGTCATATGTTGAGATCATCTAAATGATCGGGTCTTTGACATCTCCCTATATCTGCCTTTACCATTACAGCTTGTCTTGTTATCAAACATTCCTCCAATTATCCCAGTTTGAGTGTGCCATATCCTCCCAGGAGGACCCTGACCTCTGTTACTTAAGGTAAGCTCTTAAGATAAGATAGATATCTCTATCTCTATCTATTTATCTATCTACCTACCTATCTATCCATCTATATTTCTGAGAGTCCATAATTGTCTTTCCAGATTAAATCAACATGATCGATAGGGGAGCCCTTTTTCCAGCCACTAGGCACTCGGTACATCCCATCAGGGTGGCTCTGGCCTTCTGGAGCACTTAGAGCAGAATGACTTTCTAAGAGCAGTGACCATACTCCATGTTTCGGGGTAGACGGTGGTGTGTCTGTCCTCCCCACCAGCATGGAAACCTCCCTTGGAAGGTTTTACTTGGTGCCAGGCACAGAGCCTCCATGTCATAAGATTTTTCACACTGTAACTGAAATGCTTCGGTGGCATCTCCTTTCCTTCAAAGATAAAGCTCTTTTACGGTGCCTCATTTATTAGCTGTCACAGCCACTGCCTCGGGGTTACGCACACAGATAAAATATGTAGCTGAAAACCGCCTGCCCCATTTCTCTTTCCCTTCACCTAATTTCACCTCCCTGTCAAGCCTCCTTGAATTGATTTGCTCATCACAGAAGCTGCCTCAGGAAAACTCCTGGTTTCTTTCCTGGGAGGATGATCCTTTTAATTCTGGAGGGGCAGCCTCAAACGGGGAGTCTCTCAGTCCCTTATCTATCAGCATTTCTGAGCCACACTTTCCCAGGATGGCTCCTCCTGACATCTGCTCCTGTCCAGTTAAGATGATCTCCCAACCCAAGTGGCAGCCTCCCTTAGACAGGTAATTTCCCTGGGGCTTAAGCTGTGCATTGTCAATGTGAACTGAAGAGAGGTTTCTAAAGCCTGGCCGATCTTACAGCGGGTGAGGCTTGGCAGCTGGGTGACCATGGTGGGGCTTGGGGAGCAGAGGGTAAGGGGCCCCTCTGATCTGGGATTAGGGAGGGTAGGTGGGCCTCCCTTTAGGGGGCTCCCAGATGCTAGGGAGAGCTTAGAATCTAAACCGCCAGAAACTCAGCAGGCTCTGTGATCAGAAGAAAACTGTGTTTGCCCACAATGGGAGTAAAATCAACAACAAATCTAACACACCTGTGGGGTTCCAGCGTGCAGCCAGATTTCAGGGCCCTGGGCTACAGCCGAAACTAAGAGTCAGAAGCTTAACCGACTGTGCCACCCAGGTGCCCCAAACTTTCTCTTTTAAAATTTACAAGAGGGCGCCTGGGTGGCTCAGTCATTAAGCGTCTGCCTTCAGCTCAGGTCATGATCCCAGGGTCCTGGGATCGAGCCCCGCATCGGGCTCCCTGCTCCGTGGGAAGCCTGCTTCTCCCCCTCCCGCTCCCCCTGCTTGTGTTCCCTCTCTCGCTGTGTCTCTCTCTGTCAAATAAATAAATAAAATCTTTAAATTAAAAAAAAAATTTACAAGAAAAATAATTCTTTGCTCATAGGTCATACGAAATAAGCTATGGGCCACATTTGGCCCACATGCCGTAGTTTGCTGATGCCGGACGACAGAACTGTCAGTTTTGTGAGGTAGTGAGTTCCCCATTGATTGAAGCACTCAAGTGATGGAGGGATTTCTGGCAGGAATGCACATCGTCTAGGGCTGTGCTTGCACTCCCACTGCAGAGGTGTGGAGTTGTGACAGAGGCTGTGTGGCCTGTAAAAATATTTATATCTGGACCTTTACAGAAAAAGTTTGCCAATCCTGGCATTAAATAAATGAGTATATACAGGAAACAGATGAGCCGGTGAAGGTGTGACAAAGCAAATAAACCAGGATGATGTGACAGCATGTGTGTGGATGTGTGTGTGTACATGTATCTGCATGAGGGTGTGCACATGTGCATACTGTGTGTGTGTATGCCTGGGGGTCCTGATTTTAGATGAAGAGGACAGGAGACGACTCACTGGGCCTGACATCTCAAGGGGGATTTGCACACCAGCCCGTAAGCCCTGTCCTTCTGGTCCACACCCCAGTGTTCAGAGGCCTCACCTGGGGCCTCTGGCTGCCCCCCTGCAGGGCCCACGTGAATGCTGCCCATAGAAGGGGTGATGGGGGGCCCCGTAGGACTGAACACATTTACATGTGCCCTTGTTGGTCCTCTGGTCAGTTCGCTGCCCCGCCTGCAGGGAGTCTCCGTCTTCCTCAGCCCTCTGATCCCCATCACAACACGGCGTGGGTGTGTGTTCCTGTGTGTGTGCATGCCTAACGCCCTTCCCCCTCGTTCTGCAGCCCAGTCTGCCGTCCCACTGTAATAGCCTGCTGTCCGGAATTGCGGACAGATGCTGTTCATCTGTCACAGATGTGACAGGACATGGAACGTGATGGCCCACGAAAAGCAGCAACACAAAGGGAGAAACAGAAATTCCGTTCTATGTGTTCTGATAGGAGCGTAGTGTTGTTTTCCTCAACATAGAAACCACAATAACCCCAGCCGCACCTGCCAGACAGATGCGCTCAGTCCCAGCTGAGGGGGACCCCTGTCTGGTGGGACCCCCGAGGACACAGACACAGAGCCAGGGAGTGGCAGGGCCATTTTATAGATGGGGAAACTGAGGCCCAAGGAGAGGAGAGGACTTTCCCACTAGGGAAATGGCAGAGCTGGGGCTGGAAGTGAGTCCTGGGGAAAGTGAGGCTCAGAAAACTCCAGACTCCACCCTCCTGCAGCTACAGTATAAGGTGGTGGTGATCAGGGCCCTGGGAGTCAGGTGGCTGCACCACAGCTCACTCGGCGCCTTCTACGGAGCTGTCACGAGCCTTAAAGGACTTAATGCGCATCAAGTGCTTGGCCACGTCGAACACATACCCAGTGGTCAATAAATCTCACACATTACTATTATCATTATTATTATTATCATAAACATCTCCACGCTAAACAGTCACTTCTCTGTGGGCACAGACTGTAACTTGAGTACCTCCCATTCATCCCAACCTAGTGGATCTGGCTCAGCGCTCTCGCAACTGTTAATTGTAGCTGTGATGTTGTTCTATGTTATCAGCTCCCCAACTCTGGGTGCGCCTGTTACCTGTTACCTCCCATACGTGGGGTGGAAATGAAGGCCATCACTGCATTTAAACAGGTAGGGGACTCTCTCTCTCCCCCTCCACTCCCAGTCAGGCCTTGCCCCTTCCGGGCCTCAAGCTCCCATGTGTACAACGAGAACACCCCAGCTCAGTGGTGCCGGTGAGGAAGGAGGCGTGCCTTACCTGGCCCGCTGCAGAATGAGGCAATGATGGCCAGGATGCACACGATACTCAGGTAAGGGATCCAGGGGGCGTGGTCCTGCAAGAGAGCAGGAGTGTGGGCAGGGGAGGAGGCAGCGGGGCAGAGAGGACCTGGGTTCTCACCCCAGCACCTCCTTGATCCATCTGCATGACCTGGGGCAGGTCACTTCACATCTCTGAGCCCTGGTTTCAGTGTCCATAAAATGGGGATAATGATAACCCCCGGGCCATTCCATCCACCTGTTTTACAGACTGAGATAAAAAGAGATGATGCCTCCCAAGAGTTTAGCAGTGTCCTCAACATACAGCAGGTGGTAAATAAATGAGTAACTAATACTGGTTGAGTGCTTAGTCTGAAGCAGGCAATATGAGAAATTTTACAGGCACTCGCACATTTAAAAAATTTTCTTACTTAATCCCTCTCATTGTGTAAAACACTACATTTCTACCCCTGCTCTCCTGACAGGTATGAGATAAGTTAACTGGTGTCACTAAATACATTTGGGGGGGCTGTCACTTGTCTGGCAGGGTCAGGGTGGCTCGGTGCTGGGCATGGAAAGATGTCCAAGCAGACTGGATGTCTGATCATTAGAACATGGTGTCACCAGTGATGGGACATGGGGAGCATGTTTGGAGGTGCTGGAGCACCTGAGCCCAATCTAGAGAGATTCAGAGAGGGGAGGAGACTGTGTTCACCTTTGAAGGCTAAGCCAGGGTCACACAAGATCAAAAGGAGAGGAAAAAAAGTTCCAGGAGAGGGTTCTACATGAGCACGGACACCGAGGCACAAGCGAGAAGAGCACAGGGGTGAGCAGCAAATGTTCAGAGTGGAGGGTGATGGGTTGAGAGGGGGGGACAGCAGCCCCTCCATGTTCAAGTCCATTGGGTCTTGCTGAAGGAGGATCTAGGATTGAGGGGAGTGTTGTGGGCTCTTGTACACTGCATGGCTCACTGTTGCCCTAAGTTGTCCATCCATCCATGCATCCATCCATCGTTCAACCATCCATCTACCCATTGATCCATCCATTATACATCTATCCATCCATCATCTATTCATACATTCATCCATCCATCCATCATCCATCATCTATCCATCCATCCATCTACCCATTATCCATCCATCCATCCATCCATCCACCCACCCATTATCCATCCATCCACCCATCCATCCATCCACCCATCCATCCACCCATCCATCCATCCATCCATCATCCATCATCTATCCATCCATCCATCCATCCACCCACCCACCCATTATTCATCCATCCATCCATCCATCATCCATC